TCTTCGTCAACAGCACTGGTCCTCGAAGACATTGCAATTCCTGAATGCAACAAAACACTTCTCTGCGACACTTCTACTGGCCATCCTCGACCTTACGTGCCGACACCGTTTCGACGAGTCGTCTTTGACACCGTTCACTCACTCTCCCACCCAGGGATACGGGCGTCACAAAGCCTCATCTCAGCTCGATTCGTTTGGCCAAGGATGAAGTCAGACATTAGAAACTTCGCACGGGCATGCCAACAGTGCCAGCGAGCCAAAATCCATCGCCACACAGTGACACCGGTAGGCACATTTCAACTTCCCGGCGCCCGATTCAACAATGTACACCTAGATATCGTGGGACCGCTGCCACCGTCTCACGACTATCGTTACCTGCTGACGTGCGTGGACAGGTTCACTCGCTGGCCAGAGGCAATGCCTATGAAAGACATGACCGCGGAGACTGTCGCCCACACATTTATTACTATGTGGACCAGCCGTTTTGGTGTGCCGGCGACAATAACAACCGATAGAGGCAGACAGTTCGAAAGTCTTCTCTTCCATAAACTGTCAACTCTTCTCGGTGCACACCACATCCGAACAACAGCATACCATCCCTCCTCCAACGGGCTCGTGGAAAGGTTTCACCGACAGATGAAAGCGGCACTCAGAGCGCACTCGTCAATAAACCCATGGACCGAAGTCCTACCAATGGTGCTGCTGGGCATCCGCACTGCCGTGCGAGACGAACTTAAGTGCTCCTCCGCCGAAATGGTCTACGGCACTACCCTCCGACTACCCGGTGAATTTTTTCAGACAACTGAAAAGAGCAGTGACATTGACTGCGAGAACTACGCCAGCCGATTACGCTCGGTTCTCCAAAACATCCAACCAATCCAAACCAGGACTCAGTCACGCAAGGTCTTCATAAGTCCCAACCTTCACCACTGCAGTCACGTGTTCGTGCGAAACGACACGGTGCGACGTCCACTACAGTGTTCCTATGACGGACCCTATGCAGTGCTGCAACGAACTGACAAAACATTCACGCTTTCAGTCAACGGCCGAGCAGAAGTAATTTCAATTGACCGCATTAAGCCTGCACATCTCACAAACAATGAGCTACAAGAAATTGATGCAACTTCGTTCACAAGCACATCGCACACATCGCTCGCATTACACACAACCTCGCTAGGGGGGGAACCATGTAGCGGCTCCCAGCGAAGCGCGAAAGAAGAGAAAGAAGTGCCCGCGCGATCACGGCCTCTCTCGTCGCTCGAGACAGCGCAGACATCGAGGAACAACGGCACCCGCAAGATCGGCTCGTCACGTCTCAGATTTAACCTTATGTAAATAGTGTAAATAAATTAGTTGAAGCTCAGTACGCTTCACGCATGTATTCTCCGCTGATATTCATTAAGATTGTCCCAGATGAGATTCTGAAAGGGCACATAAAATAAGAGATGGGATTTGACTTCGGTCCTCTCGCTTTTTACCAGATGGAGTGTAAATTAAAGCCAGAGCGTTAAGTTAATAATACTTTATCTTCGTTCCAGTCACGTGCTAGCGCCGTCCTGTAAAAACGCAACGTGCCACGATAAATCGGTGCTACCATCCGGGTGGCGCAGGTATTCATTCCACATGCGCACGTTAGTGACACCTATTAAATGCCTACCTCCTCTTTCATCATGTCTGTTCACGAGATTCTTGCACATGTCATAGACATGTGTGTTTTTTACATGTGTTCTTCAGATCCACCCCTCGTCCGCTCACCATGCGATACAACCCCCATAACTCAGTTCACCATTGCTTCTCTTCTGTTTCCGGTATCCAGGAGCTCTGAATTTCTCCAAACACGCTCGATATAAATTTCTCTCACCGAAAGTCTTATGGTTACGCCCGAAAGAAATGAAAACAATACCGCGTGTTTTCATCGGATTTTCGTGGAATGAAATGTGCTCACGACGTGGCAATCCTACACTCTAAAGAAAGCCGTGCGTCCACTTTCCCGCACAACGCTCGGAGAGCCAATCATTGCAACTTACGGAGGCAGTTCAGCGAATGATGATGCCGAAACATATATAGTTAGACGAAAAAACACAGTCTGAGTTGTGACATTAAGCAATGCAAAACGTCACGCTTGCATTGCTGAATGTCACAACTCAGACTACGTTTTTTGGTCTAAGCATATGTTTCAGCATCATCATTCGCTAAGCTGCCTCCGTAAGTTGCGATGATTAGCTCTCCGAGTGTTGTGCGAGAAAGTAGACGCACGTTTTTTTTTTTGTTTTTTTTTAGAGTGTATTTTTTTGTTCTGTGGAACTTCATGAACCTCTAGAGCTACTATGATAAGCTACGCTTCACAGTAATGACACTGCACCCATATCGTTCCGTAGAATGAAGGCTGATATCTGCTTCCAGTTTGTGCCGACGTGCGAGACGGAAAATGCAAGTAAGTAAAGCTTTTCGTCGTCCTTTTCGGCTAAGGCAGTTCACAGGAAAACAAAACGATATCGTGCTGAACTCTTAAAGGCCGTATCTGCCACTTAGAAGTCGCATTCCAGAACCATAACCGGCACAAACGACACCCGTGCGTCAACAAGTACCAAAATGGCAGAGCTCACAAGCCGCCGTCCCGTAAAGAAATATCCCCTGACGCGAACGGACGAATGACCGTCGTGGCGGCGTGAGAGAAGAGGAGAAAGAGTGCCGATAATTTAAGTATACAGCTTTCCATCAGGGTAGAAAAAAATATTCTTGACAAAAGATCATGAAATTGGATTTTCTTGATTTAAATCAGATTGATTTGATTTAAATAAGATTAGTTTGATTCAAATCACTGTGGTCAGAGACAAAGTGATTCTTTATCACTGTATGTATTTTTTAACATGGAAGAGTAATTGATCAATGCGCCCGATTGCCAAAGACAATGTGGGATAATTATTAAAAACTACAGTTCAATCGTCAATTTGTTATTGATGTAAATCCCGCCACACTAGAAAAAAATGCAGCTTGAACTCTTTTAGTTTCGAAAAGGCTTCATTTGCATTTTTCGAGTTCCAATTTTCTTGCAATATGACATTATTTTTTACCTATTAGTTTTTTCCTTTCGCTTCTCATATCTATTGCGATTAGCCATACTGCGTAACTGACGAACGTAGTGAAAGGTAGAAAGAAAGCTCGACCAACATTCCGATTTACACCTAAGAACATCGCTTTTTTAGTCATGTTAAACCTGCTGTAGATATTTCTTGGCTTAGGATTATTTGATTTAAATGGTATCTGGACATCTCGGTGTAGGGCGTCTCGGTGCGGTCTTTTCGGTGCACGGACTTTTCGGCTCACGCAAATTTCGGTGTACGGACTTATGATGTGGGACGTTTCGGTGCGCGGACGTTTCGGTGCACGGACATTTCGGTGCACGGTCAATCAAAATCGCGTTTTTTTTCTAAATGTAATAAGCAATATTTTAGCTGGAAGTGATTTTTTTAGCACTTTATAATTTTGTAAACTTCGTCATCCATTTAAGATCACTTACTGATATACGACTTAAGTAACTTTGTTAGGCGCAGCACCATCCTGCGGGAGGACTGGATACGCTGGACATTATGATCGTCTGCCGGTGTCTCTTCCAACGTACGCACTAGACGCATCACATCGCGTTTACGCGTTGGGTCGATACAGGCGTTCTCGGCGCCTTCTGTACCACAGCTCTGGTGTGGGCGTTATTATTGGTAATCTGTGTAGGAAAGGCCTCAAGCGCAAGAAGTTTGAGAATGCTGAAAATTTCGGGAGATATGTGATGCGTCTAGTGCGTACGTTGAAAAAGAGACACCGACAAACGAACCATAACGTCTCCAATCCTCATGCAGGATGGTACTGCGCCTACCAAAGTCGCTTAGGTCGTATATAAGGAAGTGACCGTAAATGAATGACCAAGTTTAGTAAATTATAAAGTGAAAAAAAATAAATGTCCAGCTAAAATAGTGCTTTTACGTTAAAACATTGCGATTTTGATTGGCTATGCACCGAAATGTCCGTGCACCGAAACGTCCGTGCACCGAAACGTCCGTGCACCGAAACGTCCGTGCACCGAAAAGTCCGTGCACCGAAACGTCCGTGCACCGAAAAGTCCGTGCACCGAAAAGTCCGTGCACCGAAAAGTCCGTGCACCGAAAAGTCCGTGCACCAAAAAGTAAGAGACCCGATTTAAATATAACGCGAATGCACATTAAAAAAATCAAAAGATACACAAACTGTCAACCAAAACAGTTCGGGGATTATTCGTGCCGAGTTTGATTTAAATAATCATTTGGAAAAAGGTGCGAATTAAATCGTAATTTAAACCATGATTTAAATCATCCTGATTTTGCTTCTTCCCCCCACCCCGCTTTCCATATTCACGGATAGTACGAGAACGGCAGATATGTCTTCCAGTGGTCCCGCCTCCAGCGCGAGCTTCCTTCGAAGCCACTCCAGCGTATCGTGAGCTTGGGCATAGCCTCCTCTAGACTCACAATGGCTGGCAGTTTGACGACGGAGCCATGGAGTGCCCGGTCGCGTATTTGGAGCGCGAGGATCTTGTAGCACAGAGCATCAAAGAGCTATTTCTCGGGGAACCTGGACGTCAGCGGAAAGCTTTAGTAGTGGCGAGGACCCGAAACACACTTTCGGGTCCTCGCGTCTCGCCGCAGCGTCTTGCGGCAGCGGCAAGACGCTGCGTTTCGGCGTCTCGCCGCCCCGTGGTGCCAGTCACGTGGCTCTCCTCTCATCCGTTGTCTGCCGCTCTACCTTTTTCCTTTCGGCGGCCGCTTCTCGGGCGATCTGCCAGGCTTTGTCACTATATAGGAGGCTATGGCTTGGGGCGTACACGCGCAGCCCGAGCACGCTGGAAGGCAACGAGCAGCGAGCTGGAGGCCGGGCTTTCGAGAGAGAGACGCCGCGCCGATCTCGCCCTGGCAGTGACGCTAGCGTGTCTAGAAAACCCGGTGTTCACATTCCAGGCCTGTGGATCTCACCGATGGCGAGTCTCTCGTAGGCCTGTGCCCAGCTGTTCCTGTCGTTGGTGGTGAGGAATCCCAGAGGAGGGCCCACCGAGCGGGACCGCTCCATAACCTCGACGAGCTGCGGGTACAGTTCACGCTCCTTGAAGGGACGCCCGCCCTGCTTGCTGTACACGTTCACTTGAAACAGCTGCGTGACCGATGATCGCGTATGGCTAATTACTTTCAATCTGTCTTTGCTAGGGAGGGTGGAAAACATTGTAACCACCGCACTAACACCAGTGTCTTGGAACCGTTACACTTATAACTAAAGCGGGAATTCTCGAACTTGACACGAAAAAGTGAAGCGGTCCTGATACTATACCCAACGACTTTTTAAAGCAGTATGCAAAATGAATGAGTAAATATTTATACATAATTTTCTACGAGTCTCTTAGCACATCTCAGGTACCCATTGAATGGGAGAAATTCGAGGCTCTTCCCTTGCATAAAATAGGCGACATCACCAATCCTTCCAACTACAAGCCGATTTTCCTCACCTGTACTTGCTGCAAGCTACTAGAACATATTGTTATAAAGCGTTCATTAGCATCCTTTGACCAGCAGCACATTCTCTATTCTCAAGAGTATGACTTTCGGAGCGGCCTCTCGAAAGTCACTCAGCTTATTAAAACGTTGCACGACTTGGCTCTCGGTGTTAACAACCGAAAGCAAATTGGCCTATTACTACTCGATTTTTCAGAAACGATCCACCGCGTCTTACTCAGCAAATTAACTACTAAACTAAAGTATGCCATAGGGAAGGAACCCAAGCTGGATATAAACTAGTTGTCAAATCGTTCTCAATTCGTTCAATATGAGCCAAAGGTATCAGAGACCGTCAGAGTCATTTCCGAAGTCCCACAGGAGTCCGTCCTAGCCCCAGGTTTCTTCCTTCTCTTAATAAATGGCAAAGCTCACACCATTCCTGCCAATATTCGTCTATTCGCCAACTACTGTACAATCTACCGGGAAATAAACTCATTTGATGATCATATAGCTCTGCATAACGCACTTCAATTGATAAATGGCTGGTGATCTTACTGGCAGATGACTCTGAACGTTAACAAAACTGTTCGCACCTTTATAACATGGAAAATCTATTTCTGAATTTCAGTATAGCCTAAATAAACCAACATTTTTACTGAATAAACAGGGTAAATATTTGAGTCTAATGATCACCTCAGACTTACGCTGAACTGTCATGTCGCGTACGTGACAGCGCAGGCCTTCAAAATACTCATGGACTTGAAAATATCACTTAAACTAGCCACCACAGCCACGAAGCTCCAAGCTTGCACTAGTACAGTTAGGCCCACAATAGGCTACGCTAATATTGTTTGGTTCCGTTACACACAGGCCAAATTATCTAAACTGGATAAAATACAACATAGAGAAATTCAATTTATATACAATAAATACAGGGGTACGCCTGAAATTTATTACAGCCAAAAATAACCGCATATAAAGCACTAATGTTACCAACACTCGAATATGCAAGCCTAATCTGAGAGCCTTTCGCAAAAAAAAAAAAAAAAAAAAGAAAAGAAAAAAGAGAAAAGAAAACAGTTATAAACGTGAAAGCATTCAAAGTAAAGCGGTACCTTTCATTTTTAATCACTACATATCTACAGAGTCCGTCTCCCAACTGAAATCTGATGAAAACCTCCTTCTTATTAGCCCGAAAATAATGTTGAGCCAGATGAAATTATTGTTCAACTTGTATGGTCAATATGTTATAAAGTATTCACGAATATGTAACCTACGAAAACCCTGATTGGGCGACTAGAACCAAACACACCAAGTGCGTTTGCCCTTATCGCTCTAGCACAGACTAGTTTTAGAACTCTCTTTGTGTTAAATTCATTGATCACTGGAATTGCTTGTCAGCGAACGCTGTAGATAGTGCGAATGTTTCCGATTTTATAGATTAATTGTTATTGTATGTGTCATGGTACGCCAATATGTGTGATTGTAAGTGCCTTGAGGGTTCTATTATACTCAAAAACACTTGGCTAGTGCCGCACTTTAAGAAACAACCATGGCAATTAGAAATCAGACGTTGAGAGGTATAGTTTCCCGTCTTTTAAACCGTTTGACTAAATTAACTATATATCTTTTGAATTTATATTCAAATATATAATTTGTATATGAGAAAAAGCTCCGGAGAATGCTTGTTTGTGCCAGCAAATGTTGTAATATCCACTATAAAATTACAAAAGTGCGTCCCCTGGATAGTTGCACCTCTGTAGAAAGCGACGATGCATATACAGGGGTGTATCGCGGTCGAACAAACTACCCCGCATACGACCCCGTGAAAGAGGAGCACGCGACGGCGAGAGAGGATCACTTGCGCGGTTGTTGTGCATGACCACGATGTGGGACGGGGGGTCCGGGCCGTCCGCGTAGAAGAAGAGCTCGTCCCTCTGAGGCCTGGGCACGCGGTGCACGGCGAACATCCGGAAGTACATGCTCATGTCCAGTGCCATGTGGCCCGCCGTGTCCGGGGGAAGGGCCTGTCTGCGGCCATGTGCGTCGTAACTCGTTGGTAATAATGACGAATGACACCGAGACTTTCTGTAGTCTCTGACAATATAAGAAACGCGGGGCGTGGCCTATTATGATCCCGCTTCTTGCTTCATGAGACTCGATCTTTGGCGGCCATATTGACTGTAGCCCGCAATCGATTGAGCTGCGGAGCGGTAATTTGATGTACCTTAAGCCGTCAATGACTTTAATTATGGCGCTTGGAACGCGCCTCTGACTTGTGGGTTTATCGTCCTATCCCACCCATGTATCGAGAGTGATCCCCAAGTGGCAAAGAATGACGTCAGAAGAGCCTGGGTGTCATGGCGTCGGATGTCGCAATCGTGGCGGTTGGCCGTAGAAATGTCGGAGAAAAAAACACGAGCGAACGCGAGTGTCGTCGTCGTCGCGGCGTCCCAACTTCCGGCTGCCGAAACGTCCGTGGACTGTAGAACTGGAAAGAGCGACCTGCGCAGCAGAACAGGTGTCTGCCACATACGCCATCACTACTGGGACGCCGTAGGGATCGCGGGCGGCGACAACGTGACACTGCTAAGGACGTCTCCAAGCGGAAATCGAGGGTCTAGCACGTTTTAACGTGCTAGACACACCGGTCGGAGGCGCGTTCCAGGCACCTGCACTCTAGGTAGCGACGCCTTAATGCTGAATCTTCGGCGTCGCCTCGACGAGGTCAACGCGGTGCAGGCACAGGACACTAGTGCTGCCTCAGTTTTTGACTGAGAGTTTCTCACTGACTGAACGTGAGTCTCATTCGGACACTGTCGTAGCAGACGTGTCTAACCTGCACCCAGCCTCCTTTAGGTGACGCCGAAGATTGAGTTCTGGGGCCTTGCTCTCGAGAGACGTTAATTCGAGACACCCCTCCCTCTCTCTCTCTCTGTCTTTCCCTCTCCTCTTCGCTCTTTTCCTTTTAACAGAACTATTATTGGTTTTATCTTCGTCTTTTGGATTGGTAGAATGTGTTAGCTCACCGCAGCTCGTAGCATGTGCGAAAATACCCGCCGCATAATCCGGGTGTTATATAAAAGTTTAGTCCCTGCCTATACCCTTTTTCGTCAAAGATGTGTTTACGAGCCCGTAATGCGCATTAAAGCACCTGATCACCAGCCGCAGTGCACTGGTTCAGACATCCGATCTTATTTTCGGGGCAGAGAAACTTCCTGTGGTTATGAACCTTACTCCAGAAAATGGCGTTTTTGTTACGAGGCTTCAATGAGATATGCTCAATTTTTCGCTCAAATATGGCCCGTGTTTTGCAAGATGCAGGACAGGAAGGATAACAAAGGTCCGTCTGAGAACCCTTTTATAATTTGTTTCAGCCTATTTCGGCAATGCTTGAAGGCCGCTCTTAGCATAGCACAGCGTCGAAGCGAGGCACGTCGCAAAGCACCATTGGTGTGCGTTCCACTCGCAAGCTGTCATGCGTCTCGCTTTTAGCAAGCAACTTACAACCGTTAACACAAAGAAATTGTCGTTCCCGTCTCAAATTTCTGTTTCAACTTAATAAAGGGCATTGTAAGATTGATATCTCTCAACTAATTTTCTTTCCTTCTGGGTATGCGACCAGACAGAGGCATGACTTAACCGTAACTCCTTTCCGCACACGCAATAATTCTTTCTTTTTCCAAGAACAATAATCGATTGGAATAACCTGACTAATGATGTAGTTTTGCACCCATCATTGACATTATTTGCTTCCCTCCTTAGTTAATACTGTTTTGCTTCATATTTGTTTAATTTCATTAGGCTACATACTGTTTTTTTTCTTGATTTGCTTTTAAGCAAGCTATGTATCTGTACATTTACCATTGTAAGACCACCCCTTTAAAATGCCGGCAGGGACTGCAGACTTTATAAATATAAATAAAATAAAACACCATAGCCTCCGCTATTTATGAGGTTATACTGAGGCAAATCATCGTACGTGGCACAATGGCTACGATTTGGAAACATCTGTGTTGACCAAGAAGCGAAACATATTACTGTACACGCCAGTCTAATGCACATTGCGCGACACTTAGCACGAACACGACATTGGTGCTTTTTTGGATTTTTCTTTGAGAGGGTACTGGAGGGCACCAAATTTGTTCATATGCTTTGGTACCCCATCTGAGCAATATGCTCCACTCTTTTAGTATTGAGAGAATAAGCGCACGAAAAACGCACAGATATATAAATCGCTACGCGCTTTGTCTTCCTAAGCTTTACTTTCGAAAGGAAGGAGCGCTGGCATGCGTCAGTTGTTCTTTCTTGTACTTTTTTTTCTGTTTTCTTTCTCCCATATAGCTATCTTCTCTCATATAGCTATCTTTCGTTTATGTCCAGATTTTTTTTCCTCAAAGTATACCCGAAAATAGATTATTGCGAGAATACGGCATTGACATTCATATCTTACCATGTGTGTATTGGACACATACTAAACAGCCGTCGTCTGGTGGCAGGGAAAGGTGAACACTGTCTTGTATCTTTTATTTTATATTATCTTATATTTATTTATTTTAATAATAAAAAGAGATAAATATATATTCGCGAACTTTAGGCTTGCAAGCCGATCGCATATTCTTATCACGATATATGTTCCGATGCCTATATTTACCGCAACAAGTCCTCTAAAATCTGTCCCGCGAAATCTTCTGCAAAGCTAAAAGTCGTTTCCTTTTTATCCTCGAGCTAACCTAATGGAGTGGAAAGAAACAACCTTAAATGAAATACCGCAGAAAAAAAAAAATAGAATGCATACGGAACACAAAAGCTCACTGGAAAGTTCTTGAACTCGGCTCACTAGTTCGTAGCAAGCGGGAAAATGAGACGTCCGCTTCCGACTTTCAATTCCATGCCAGAATGGACCTAGAGGTTAGTTCACCTATACTTCATTTCCCCATAAAATGTGCGCTGTAAATATGTCACGTGACTGCACATCCCGCACCGTTGCCGCAATCCTCCCAATCCCCAAATGTGAGGTGACATTCACACGGCATTGATTGACCTCGGTGGCTTGTGGCGACCTCTGCAGGTTATTGTAAGAAGAAGCGGAGTTAGGGGCTATGCAGCGTACATAAACGCCAAAAAAAAAAACAAAAAAAAAACAGCTCAATAGTGTTCGAAAACGTCCAGATAGAAGTAATTGTGGTGAGCTGAAGACGTATCCCCACCTGTCAATTAGGTCCTTGAACTCCAACAAGGCAGCCACGAGTTTGGCAGCGTACCTGCGGGGCACAAAAATATGAATTTGCTGATTCTTCATTGAGACGTCTGGAGTCCATGCAAAACGGCAACTCATGAATAAACTCAACGCCGAATGAATGTATTAATCAACTTCAGTTTGGCGGCAGATATACATTTATGAACGTGAGCACGCTGTGACATTTTATGGGAGACAGGACTTGCCATTAATAACACTAAGAAATTGTGCATTAATTACCTATTGATAACTTTATGAAACTCACGCCCCGTTTTCAAGAATTATACAAAAATGTTTTCTATGAAACAAAATGTACATAAACAGCCTAATAAACATCGCAAATTTTATTAAAGTTTTTTACACTTTTATATGTCTTTATATACTGCAAACGACTCATTTCTCGCGGACTCAATATTTCGCGATTTAGGTCTAAGCTGAAGTATTGGAATAATTCGCGTGTTCTAATTTTCGCGACGCGGTGGGTTCCCAAAATAGATTCCAATGTGTTGACATTTTGAGACTTCGTCCGTGTCGTTCTGTGTTTGTAACTCGTCCGTATCCCCAGTCTCGGGTTTACAACCATGCTCAATTAACACCAGCTAGACTGCACCCTCACCATTGCTTCATCACCGGAATTGTTCGCGGGACCTATTTTTCGCAAATTGTGGGCGATTTGCGACACTGGCGAGACTTAGGTACTCGCGAAAATTAAGTCTTTTACAATACTTATTAGACAGGTGATGTAATTATTTCACTATGGTATTTTAAAGTATCGTAATAAAAATGCAGCATATGGCCCATAAAATGATATATAAACTTGAACTTTTTATATAGAAACTTCGGTGAAGCAACAATGGACGAGTTCATTTCGATGTTTTGGTCGGAGCCCGGCCTTCGTGTGTGTACGTATATAATATACATTTTGTTGCGAAGCGTAGTTTTTGCAATATCGAATTTGTCCACCTTTCGTGAAACACCCTATATTTATATAACCACTCAGGAATCATCAGCTCTCCCGCATACGTCGATAGTCAGCAGCTCACACTCTGCTAATTCCTCGACATGAAAATATAGAATCAGTCAATCGCTTTTCTCTAGAGCCGATTGTGAAGGGTACTGATGAGTCAGTTAGGATCATCGTAAAGCGACCTTAATGATGAATGGGCGAGTCCGAATTTAAGGTTTTTTTCAAAAGTTGGGAAGAAATTAGTAGTTGGGGCACCCGTACTCACCTGAGGAACTCTTCTTCGGAATGGAAGGTCTGCTGGGGAAATAGGCCGACCGGACTGAGGTGCACTGGCAGGGGCGTGCGCACGTCCAGGTAGGCCGACGTCATCCACCACTCGTCTAGCTGAACGAAGGCCGACAGACAAAGTAACCGCCTTTGCACTCTCCTGCACCGCTCACCTCATTCTTGGATTTTGAAGGAGCTTATGTTAAGCGCTAATTGAATGAACCGAGAAAATCCGCTATTTCCAGAAAATCCTTTATTTTATAGCGGGTGTTTGGGAAGAAAAAAATCCTTGCTTTTTGCATACCCAAAATAAAATATCCGTAGTTGAAGGTTTTGTCTCTGACCAGATGTCATCACTGGTGGTTGGGACGAGACGCAAAAGCTTTAGAACTTCCCGTTATTTGATTCAAACCGTATAAAAATATTAAAAAAAAATTAATTGGAAGTTTGAATGAGAAAAGGAAACACATTTTCGGTAGCAGACTCCATTTATCTCTATGCATTCGCGGGCTTTCTTTGCCACTATTTACCAAATTCACGGAAAATGCTTTATAACTTGTGAATCAAATATCGACGAACTACGAAACCTTGACATGTCGTCCCCACCACTGGCGATATTATTTGGGAGGAGACTGAGCGTTTAACGATGCCTAGTTTCGTTTTGCGACAATAAAAACAGCTTTATTTGTCCCCAAGCTCCCGGTATACTGCCATACAACCCGCATCTGCCGACATTGTGAGCGTTCCCAACCTACACGCGTTTGACAGGCCACTGCGCGATTCCCCATTGGCCATCCCACGAGGGTAATTTCTCCGGACCATGGTTACCTATACGGCATGACGCCGTATAGGTAACCATGGTCGTCATAATTATTGCCATTGTCATTATCATCAGCAGCAGCGGCAGCATTATCCCTTCCCAATAATGATGTTTTTTGTTTGAATGCTCATCAACCTTTATAAGAACCTTCCTACCTCCCACCTATTTCCACTTTAGCAGATCGAAGGCTGGAGAGGATGTCGTCTCCTCTCCAGCTTTCACCTTGCTAGAGTGGAAAGAGGTGGGAGGAGCTTACACTTCACTCCTAACCTGTCACCGACTATAAACTTGTGAAGCGGACTCAACGACACAGCGATCCTTTTGCACTGAGACGTCTTCTTGATGTTCTACATCGCGATTCGGTGGGGCAGAGGTGAAGCCGCCATGATATTACACTCCACCTCACAAGTTGTGCGCAGTGTTATCTGAGGTGCAGGGGCACCTCAGAAAAGAAACGGGAAAGAGTGAAATTTTCACTTTTCCTCCTCTCAAACTGCTTGCGTAACGCAAGCAGTTCGGGAGGAGGAAAATTGGGAATATCACACTTTCCCGTGTCTTTTTTTTTTTTTTACAGCCGAGCTGTTAAGATTTAGTTTTTAAGGATCATGTCCGGTACCAAACAAAAGTCGAAACCCGAGGTCAACGCAACGCTCTGTTTGCCGCCGTCGCTTACAGATGGCGGTAGCTGTCCCGAGTGTTGTGTTTGCCGGTTGTCTGCTTGCCGCCGTCGTTCATAAATTGCGGCAACCTTTGCAGCCTCGGCAACCGGAAAACTGGTTGCTGCCGTCGTTTATAGATGCTGGCAACATTTCTTCGGAGGAAGAAGAGCGGGAACGGAACGAGCGGCAATGTGTGCAGAAGTGCGAATGGTTTCGCAACCGCCGCGAGGCCGCTATCGCCTAAAGTTCCACTGCGCCGAGCGCTTCAGATTTCCAGGCGAAAGAAGAGCAGATTGCTCGCCTGGAAAGCCATCGCCGAGAACAAAAGCTACAGCTCCGCTGATCTTCCTTCTTCACCAGAGTGGAAAGGCTGAAAGTTTTTGTTTTGTTTTTCGTGTATATCAAACTATTTTTTTTGTCCGAAGAGAATCAGTTCGTCGGTCAAATATATAACAGTTTTTTATTCTTTTTATTTTGGATTTTTTAGCGCTGCGCGGAACTCCTGAGGTAGAGTTACTAAGGGGCACTAAAGTGGTTTCTGAGATTACCTCTTTATGGTCATAAATTAGTTTGCCGTCCTAACAATTAAAAAACCCCACCTAAGATTAGATTATTATGCGTTCGAATTCCCTATTAAAAACGGGATGAAAGAATATGCGACTCGCCTCTTTTTCTGCGATATGCCGCAGAAACCAGAGGGCGCTATCGGACGCGGGACAGCCAATCGTGGGTGATCACTTCCCGTGCGCGTGTCACATACATTCGAAAATCGATTGCCGTTGGTCGGTCCACTCACCCCTCGCCGCCCAAATATTTCTTCAGTGCCCCTTTAAGCCGGAGTCATCAAAAACAGTCTGCATACAGATTTGAACGCAAGTCAACGCGAGATCCGTGCTTCGAATGCCGCATGGCAGTGAGTTAAGGAGAAACCGGAACGCGGCATTCAAACCACGGATATTGCGCTGACTCCTGCTTGCTGACTGTCTTGTATGATGTATGAGCAGTGTGACCCCGGCTTTAAGGTTTTTTTTACCCGTTTCATTTGAAAACTTACCGGTAAACTTAAGGCAAATTTATCTATTAGAATTAGTTTTTTTGCGAAAAAGGTCAGTATTTTAGAGTAACATAACACAAATGATGAGCGTTTTCTTTGTGTGTGTGTGGGGGGGGGGCAGTTATAGCTCTTAAATGACGACACCTTTCTTTTTTTGTTTTCAACGTATTTACTTCTCCTAGTTTACGCGTCACGTGAACTAAAAAAAAATATTATGACGCGGTAGCAGCATTAGGGGGTTTTCGTAAACCGCTTTGCTCCCTCCGCTAAGGCATCCGCAACGAAGAGGCCGCTACTGCGCCTGCGCGGCGCTAGCCTTCACTGAAGAAACTCGGACCTCGTAGCGGATTGCGGAGAGCGTTGAGGGACGTGCGGAAACGATATGCGAAAACTCCCTATTGTCGCCTTCTCTCATTTCAGTAGACAAGGGAACGAAGCCGCCACTGCGTTACTCTTTTTCGGGCTCACGCGACAAGCGACATAGATCCGCTCTCTTCACTCTAACGTCAACCACAGATTCCCCCCCCCCCCTCTCTCTCCTCCTGCCATCGCAATACAAATCTTTGAGTCAAAATCGCTCAATTATAAATTAATTACAACTTCTGGGCGTTCTCTACGTTACGTTCTACTATAATGAGTGAGTGGTCCCATACCCCTGCGTTAGAGGTAATAAAAAATCAACCCCAAAGTTATGATTACTATGATTGCAATGTAGCCTCATAATCTGTAAATCTGCGCTGTTGCGGGAACAAACAAAAACTTAAGCAGTGTACCACGTACCCAGTTTTCTGTGTGTTTGGCCCGATGCGTCAGTAGCCTCAGCAAATGCTCTCCCTCTCCGCTCTCCGAGAATTTCGTGATGAGCTTGACGGAAGGTGCAGAAAGGCAGTGAGGGTTCTGGAGAGGCCAACCTCCATTTCGGTATCATTTCAGCGTCGGCAATGCTCAACTCTTGGCAACGGTTCTTAGCAATACGCCTCGGAGTAACTAGGTATTTCTTTTTTCAGTGAGACATCCCTGAGTTTTGTTAATTGTTTTACTGACACCAAGATCCTGCTATCTAAAGCAGTGCGTTTTTTGTTCTCAAATATATTTTGCAAATATAATTTTGCGGTTTGTTTGATTAAAACTACAAAAGTGAGTCAAACGGACGCCTTAACTTTGCAATAAGAATTGGAATTGTAGCTCCGTTGTCTGGTTAGTTAGGAGTCGTTGTACCAATAATTTAAGAAAAACAAAGAGTTCGACAAGTGATAGCGCAGTGCAGCCAGGCAATATGACGTCACAGTCAGCTTATAAATGGCCGTCTCATTTTGAAGTATGCGCAAAAGAGGAGCAGCGCTTCGTCACTTGTTTTTAAGGCAGTGAGGAGTGAAAATAATTGAACTTCATCGTCAAAAATGTTTCATTATCGTGATGTTTCTTTGTCACTCCATATAAACTGCAAGAGTATAGACCTTTTCTGTGTACTCTTGTCCCCAGCCACCTAATAGGGGTATCTGGTATGGGCGACGAAAAAATAATCCAACGTTTCAAACTGCAAATAGTAAAAAAATAAAGGGGAGGCAAAACGAGAAAGTGTGACGGTCACGCTTATATCATAAATGCCTTCTAGTGGCGTGGCGAAGGCAAAACAATGTTTTCGCCCATACTGGAAGTGACGTCAATTCAAGGTGGCGGCGCACTTGCAGAAAAGGTCTATACCTGGAAGTTCTAAAACGGAGCGAGTTATGTGACATAGCCTCCTCGATCGGGTCAAGCACACGTAGTGGCGAACTCAGAGTAAATTGCAGTTTTTGAAGGCATCAATCACAAAGGAAAAATCACCGAGTGACGGTAATTGAAGTTGCTACACTGGTCAACATCAGTCATGGTTCTCATCCCAAGTGGTTACCACATTTTGTAATCACTCATGAGGGTAATAAGTAAAAATTTCAGGTTCGATCAAGAAGTGCATGGTGCATAGGCGGCATTGCACGTGACCGAAATATTTGTACCTACAGAAATAGACCTATTGCTATATTACCCAAGCGTCAAGGAGAATGCAGGGATTGCTGGCCTCAGCAGTAGTAACTTCTCTAAAGCAAATACCTAAAACAAATGGCTTCTTGCACGCGCGTTCGTCAACGCTTTATTTTGGTTATTTACTTCCAATCTTTTATACGGGGAAGGCGTGCGCGTGTGGCGCGTGGAACACCAATTCCTGCCTTCTCCTTGATGCTTGGGTAATACAGCAAATGGTATATTCACGCATTTGATAAGCGCTGCAAGACCACCTGCAATGAGCGGAATGGAAACTACGGTAATACAATTGCGTGCCGTGCCGCTTTAGGTTAATAAATTTCAAGCAAAAAATAAGTAAGTATTTTATTTGACTCTTTATTGTACACCATTCAACCAATTTCACATAAAGGCCGCACGAACGCTTAAATTAAGCGTCAGAAATTATGTTCACCAGCAAACAAGAGCGTACAGCAGCAGGCGAGGGCTCGGCATCATGGACATACGAAATTATTTGGTCGCTTGAATCTGTAGCAGAGAAGCATTCTTTAGGCGGCGGAAGAAGACTAGGATGGTACACGACACGGGGCTCGGGAACAACCAATGGACCAGCCCTGCGACGTTATTACAGCGAAGCTGTTTATGGCTAGGGTTCGGGTAATTTGTGTGTGTGCGTGACCAAAAACTCTACACTCGCACCGTACCCACGCGCCGCAAGTGCCGGCGTCTGCAGCATTAAATGTTCTAAAGCAAAAGCCTGAAACAAATGGCATCTTGCACGCGCGTTCGTCAACGCTATATTTTGGTTATTTCCTTCAAATCTTTTATACCGAAAAGGCGTGCGCGTGAGGCGCGCGGAACACCATTCTCTGCATTCTCCATGACGCTTGGGTAATTTAGCGATTTTCGTGTGCGTGACCAAAAACTTTACGCTCGCACCGCCCTCTCGTTGTCGTCGTTCCAAGCGCTTGCGTGCTTAGTTTTCTTTCCTTCCGCTCTCCCAGGGTGGCGGTCACGTCGCGCGTGTCTACTTTCCGCGGGGTGGCGGTTCCGTCGTGGGTGTCTAGTTTCCTCCATCTTCTCGGGGCGAGGATAGTCGTCCACGCGAATGAATATAAAAACAAATACTTTACTAGGGGGAATACATTCCACTCTGCTCATTTGCATTAGACAGAACGCCTACAGCCCCGCTGACGGAGTGGAGGTCCGCGTCAGCACGCGCAAGTGCACGTGGATCTTCGCGGCGGCCGCGGCGGTGTCGTCTCCGATTCCACCTAAAGCCCCTTCATGTTTCAAAAGTAGCGCAAGGTGCGTCGATGCACGAGTCACGTGGAACGTGCGATCCTTGGGAAGATCATGGCGGCACATTGCAGCAAAGTATTTAGCGCACCACTGAGCTAGAGTTCAGACGCCATGTTATTCTTAGAAGTGGCGCGCGGCACGTGTCTCGCGCATTTCCAGAACAATGAATTTGGCATGTAGAACATCAATATCATCGATAGCCGAGACCTCCCCGACAATAGATGGCTCTCGCCAAGCCCAGAAAACCTGTCCGCGCCGAGGCGATTGTATTTAAGAGGAGTGGAATGTATTCCCCCTAGTAAAGTATTTGATAAGAAGAACAGAAAGGCAAGTTGCCGCTCTCCATTTTCAATTTCACTTTTCGTCGTAATGGGGAGGCCGCGTATAGTCCGGACTCCCGAAGTGCAACGCGCCTACGAAGAGCAACGGCGGGAGCGGCAACCAGAATGTCAGCGGCGGCGGCGGCGGGCGGCACGTGTACCTTTCGTTACGAGGACCACCGATCAAGACAATAGATGTGTTCGTGCCTTTGTTCAAAATTCTGTGTCACGTCTCTGTCGCGTGCTAAACAGCTTCGCTTGCCATCCAACTTCACAGAGTAGAATGGCTCCCAATATTTTAGTTTTTTGCTCATGCGCTCTCGTAAATTAATTGAAGAAACCTTCGGTCTTTTCATATCCTTTGGATCTCCTATTCGGCTGCGCAGCGGTACAATGACAGGTATCTATACTGACACTAGTATTAACCACGAGACTTGCATACAAGACATTAGGAGGAAAGAAAATAACAGATATAAAAAGGTCGATTCCGCTTTCCATGCTTACTTTTTTTTTCCTTAATCCACAGAAGAATTATTTTGTGTATATGGCTACGCGCGTCTCTGAGCAAACGCTTCCGTGGCCGAATGGCTATCCAAATTTTTACATTCAAATTCTTTATTGATCCCTGAATCTGAGAAGGGAGGCACAGAAAAAAGCAACTCAAACTCTACTTGACTAGCCTCTGCCCCCCGTACCGTACTTGGCTCCCACGCAAAGGGCCGGGGATCAATTACTAGGAGCTTACGGCGAGCTTCCTCGCTACTACGCGAGAGCTCGCCGCTAGTAGCAGCTAAAGCGCACGCTCAGCCAGCGCGTGCTTTAGGGTGAATTCCGCTCGCAGATCTCGAGCGCTCCAAAAGCGCTGCCTTTGGAGCGCGCATATTCTGCTCGCAGATCTGGCTCGAGTTGGTCATGTTCCGCTCGTAGATCTCTGGCAGCGCCCGCTCCACGGAGCGCCTCAAACCCCGCCGAACTTGCTCTGCGGAATTTCACAGATCTTTCCGGAAGTTGACAGAGCGGCCCACGTGATTTCCTTCTAAATCGGCAGTGCGTATGCGCGGCGAGGTTGAAGAGGTCGGCGGGCCGGTCGGGTGGTCGAGTTGGATCTGTTCGGGTGCGTCGGTTGTCTACGTGGGATTGTAACGGCTCTAACGCTCCTATCTCGCGTAGGTCATGGGATACAAAACCGGGACTGTGGACCGTATAAAATCGTAAGCGCTGACATCTGTGAACGACAAAAAATCCGGAGGCAGGCGCAAGGTTAGGCCTGTTCATTCTGCAGCCAATGATTGTTTACCTTGTTACGCTGCATTCCGCCGGCGGTTTCCCGTGTAATAAAGCAAGAGGAGGTTAGGCAATGACCGTGCAAGTGATGGCTTGTTATCTCTGTGTTTATTATTCGTATTAGAAATTTGAACTCCACCTCTGGCAATCGCTGTCCGTGCCCCGCCGCTTCGAGGCGGCCGAAAGGTATGTGACGGTCATACCTCGGCAAACCTCACTCATGAGGGCCCTCACTCACCCTCACTCACCCTCATCTTCACAGGTGAGGTGAGGGTGAGTGAGTTTCTGATCCAGGACAAGTCATGAGTGTAAGGGTGAGTGAGGGCCGTGAGGGTGGTGAGTTCGTGAGGGGTGTGAGGGCCATGAGTGCGTGAGGGGCGGGGGGGGTATGAGTGCGTGAGGGCCGTGAGTGCGTGACGGGTGTGAGGGCAGTGAGTGCGTGAGCGCATGAGGGCGGTGAGTGCGTGAGGGGTATGAGGGCCATGGGTGCTTGAGGGGCGTGAGGGCGGTGAGTGCGTGAGGCCTCCTTCAGACGGAGCAACTTTCTTAGCGATTTTGGTATTGATTGCGGGTTGTTCCCTAGCTTTCCCTAGATCGACACGAATTGCTGAGATCGGGTCCGGCTCGAAACAAGCGAGCAACTCGTAACAATTCGAAGACGTTTGAAGCGGCTGCATCCTATCAGGGACGCGATATTTTCACATCATACCTCGTGCCGGTGGTGATGACATCAAAAGACTTGGTTCTGGTTTGAAATTGATTGTTTTTGGAAATAAACTGTTTCAGAAAGGTGTATTAGTATTCTCAACGAGATTGAAATGCATAAAAACACGTTTATATTGAGTAATTGTGTATCTAAATCGTACAAGAAAAATACAGTTTTATGATGATGATGGCAAATTGCAGCAATTGGTTGCTGCGTGTGAACACGGGCGGCCCGGGTTGGTGGTGTTGCGACGTCAAGTTTCTGCGCGAAATTGCCCCATCTGA